GAGATTGGAGTTCTATCAAACGAAGTTTAAGATAGCAGCTTCCTCTGATAAGCCGTAATCTCTTAACACAAAATAGATCACTCATATAATAAGAACAATGGTGTTAGCTCCTTGCTTGAAAATGATTTTGTTGTTAACCGTCCGGTGACTCAATCCTTAACCAGGAATGTAACATCTATTACCTCCCCAATTTTTTATTGTTGTCATGAAATTCTTGAACAAAATGTTGCTAAGAGCTAGAGAGCTGCAATTTCTTAAAGGTTTAAAGGTGGAGTGAGGGTGAGCATGTGGAGGATAATGCTTAACCTCATGTGCATTTTACTGAGTTTCCAGGCAGTTTTTGGTCTCAATTTCAACTTAACCAAGTCTGAACTGATGAGAATGGTGATGTGAGAGATGCTTCTAGGTTAGCGAGAGTTATGGAGTGTAAAAGGAGTTGCCAATTAAGTACATGTTGTTACCTTTGGGAACCAAATATAAATATGTGAGAATGTGGAATCTTGTGGCAGCAAGGTTTGAGAGGAGGTTGGTAGGATCAAAGAGAAACCTCTTGTTCAAAGAGGGGAGACTTGCACTCATTAAAAGTACATTGACTAACTTCCCCATTTTTAACATGTCCCTTCTAACAACCCCAGTGAGTGTTGCTAAGAGACCAAAATCAATTCACCGTGGATTTCTTTAGGGTGACTCTGATGATAGGAAAAAATATCACTTGGTGGTCTGAAGTTGAGATCTTTAGTGGACATAAATATGGCCTTACAAGGTAAGCGGCCATGGAGATTCATAAAATAAAACAATATCTTATAGTGGATAGTGATAGTAGCGAAATTCAGTACTGTGAATAGTGGATGGAACCCCAGAATATTGACTAGACCACATCAGAAGGGGATGTGGAAAAAAATATGCATGAGGAATAAATTTCAAGATTGCATCAAGTGGAGAGTTGGCACTAGGGACAGAATCAACTTTTGGTAAAATGCTTGGTTTAGAGGGGGGAGAAGGGGGATCCGCCTCAAAGATCAATTTTTCCATAATTTATACTATTGCATGACACAAAGATATCAAGGATTTTTAGTCATTCTAGAGATAATGGAACCGGGGGGGGGGGGGGGGTGCATGTAGAAATTATGATAAACTCAATGATGAGGAAATTAATGACTGTGAAACTCTCCTCACTTTCTTTACATAAATAAACAAGAGTAATGTCCAACCAATTTGGAGTCTCAATACGAAAGGATCTTTCTTGGTCAGGTCTTTCAGTAATTATTTGATTAAGAATGGAATCATGAAGATTAATTTTCCTTTTCGACAAATCTGAAAAGTTAATACTCCACTTAAAGTTACTATTTTTGCATGGGAAGCAAGTTGTGGGTGTATTCTGACTATTGACAAGCTAATGAGGGAAAAGATTTTGGTGAATGATTGTTTTCTATACAAAGGGGAGTCAGAGTCTTGTAACCACATCCTTCTTTGGTACCTGCTTGCGTATAAGCTATGAACCAAGACTTACGAATTACTATGAATTAGTTGGACCATGATTGGTTCGGTAAGGAAGAAATTTGGGCCTGGAAGGATATTAGTAGAGGGAAAAAATACATGAATCTTATTCCTCTTATTATCTTTTGGGTGGACTGAAAAGAGAAGAACATAAGAGCTTTTAAGAGGGTGGAAGGTGAATTTGATAAGGCTAGAAATAGATGGTTCCATACCCTGGGTTTTCCACTTATGACTTATTCTATTTATACATTAGAGGGTTTTGGGGATCGAATTAATATTCTGATTGATATGTAAATACTTTTTTGTACATAGATTCGCACTCACTTGGTGCTTGTAAATCAATGAATCATACCATAATTTGAAAAAGAGTTTCTCTTTCATCCATTTTATTCCAAATTGGAAGGAACTAAAACACATATATTGGAGGGTTGAAAGGTATTCCTCATTTCTTATTCTCTAATGTAATAAAATTCCAAATAATGGAAAAGGAAATAGAAGATGAAATGCAACTGTCAATTTCCTTTCCTCTCATTTGGTAACACTCTCAAGCAGAAAAAGGGAAACCAACTGTCCTTGCTCTCCATTCTGCTGAACCCATGTCCTCATCCCAACTTACCCTAACAGCAACCAAGAAATGGATCCATTTCCAGCTATTGGAGCTTTCTTGTGTTTCTTCCAATATCTAAATGGTCACTTGAAACTCAAAAAGTTATAAATAAATACCAAATTTTGGTCTCCTCCAGGGCCCTGATCTATACTCTCTCCTATAATAATATTAAAAGATGATGTCATGTCGACAATGATGTATGGAAATGCATCACTTTTAACTGCTTCAAAATTTCAAAAGTGCACTTCAGATCGTGTGAGTGATTTGTTCTCAAACAAGACAGTAATATTCGAGATTTTCTTTTTCTTTTCTTTTTTTTTCTTTCACACAAGGGAAAGAATGCATATAAAAGAAGCCAAGCACAGTAGAAGAAGGCTAATTAGCCTTTCTCATCTCATCTCTAACGACACCTAACTGCTCAATGGTAGCATGCTGAAAAATAACTTTTTCATTGTTCAAATGATCCCAAGCTTTGCTAAGAATATATTTCAAACTCAAGCTGCTATTTTCATTATGCCCTTTGAAAAAACTCTTTAAATTTTAGAACTTCTGGATGTGAGTCGCAAATATATTCTTCTCTTAAAATTATTACCATTATTGTCACTCAATATACCGTGATACATTATATATATATATACGAATACATATGTATCTTGATTCTGACAAACAGAACAACTTTCTGTTGTCACTTCAGATATGAAGGCTCACTAACATTGCATTTGAAGTCTTCAAACAAAAACTAATACATCAAAGTATAGTTAATTTGACTTTTCGGAGCTTTCTACAGGAAAAGGTCACTGTAAATGCACTTAGATGAGGCTAGTGATCAATTTGTATTACAAAGACACTATGTTATTACATATCAGCACAACAAAAATGCATGAATAGTTTAAGGGAGTTGTTCCCAGGAACTTGACCCC